CCCACAACCCAAGACACTCTAAATGTAAAGGTGATGGTGTAGGGTTTCTACTCTCACCTCACTGCTCCTTCAAACCTCTACCCATCCTCCCCCTTCCCTCTCTTTCTCATCATTTGAAATTCCTTCAATTCGCCTTTTCAAACCTCTCTCTGCTAACATTGCCGTAATTTATCGCCCCCTCCCTGGTTCCCCTCTACTCTTCCTTGACCACTTTACTTCCTGGCTACCCTACCTCCTCTCCTCCAACATACCATCCCTAATTCTCGGGGACTTCAATATTCCCATTAATCCAACACTGACCTCAGCAGCCTCTAAACTACTTTCAATTACTTCCTCCTGGGCTTTCTCAGTGGGCTACTTCTCCCACCCATGTAGCTGGCAATACCCTCTACCTCATTTTCTCATATGCATGTACAGTGTCTAATATCTCCAACACTCCATTTCCCCTCTCTGACCCCCACCCCCCCCATCTTAGGAGGAACTTTAATTCTATTGACCTCCAGCAACTGTCAGCTGATATTGATTCACAACTCCTATCTATCCCTTCCCTCTCCTGTCCCTCACTGGATATCTCCTGCACTAGCTGAAATGAAATTTGTTAAGGTAATGCTGACTTTAGTCTCTCTAACATACAGTTTAATTTGTGAGCTGTGTACAAGGGTAATAAGAACAATGGTTTATTACATAATGGGACTTTACAATCCGAGATACTTAAACTCACAGAGCTTCAAAGGGGTATACAAACTATGCAATTGTTTGTGCATAAACATCACAGGGAATCCAGAGTGTTTGTCAGCCATACGGACCCAAAGTCTGAAGTTGTTTCCATATTTTCAGGATATTAGAACTTAAATTAATCTATTGAAATCACGCATGATATACAAATGTAAACTAAATGTGTGATTGCTACAGTAATGTCTATAACTGCATCCTTGACTGATTTAGGGGTAAAAGGTAATATAGATATACTAATATTAGATTCTATTTTTCTTTGTAAAGATGAATGTATCAATCAGTTAATCATACAGGTTAGATTGATACAGGATATAGACATATTGCATGATGATTAATATAACCAACCATGTTTCAATTAAAGAATATACATAACCAAAGACAGATATTTAACGTAATTTGAAATATCCCCAGTGTAGGTGAATTAAAGGTCAATTCATTTATTTAACCAGGTCATCAATGATCTAATTCAGGTGTTCATACCTAGGGAAATAGTGCCATCTATTGATGAAAGTCCCTAAGGGCCACATTAATATTTAAACATTAAGATACGCCCATAACCAATCAAAAGCCAGATTTAAGTCCCAGGTACCGCCCATTTACAAACAAGGGGCAGGAACTGATAAAAGGGGGAAATAATGGTTAAATAGGAAGAAAAATAAGAGAGATATATATCTTCAGATGGTCTTAAAAAAGATCAAAGGAGAAAACAGAGGGCTAAGAAAGGAGGAGATTTACTGACTAAGGGCAATAGACTGAGTTACAGACCAGAGCACCCAGAGAGAAGAATCCCAAATTGAATTCATTCATCCTAGACTCTTGGTAATGTATAAAGGTTTCTCTTTACTTTATATTAAATAAACTGGACTATTGAATGCCCTATGTGTCTATATTGTGAACTGATCCCTATTGATAGAACAGTAATATCTCATTCTACCTGCAGTCTGAGTCAGGTTGGTTGATATTTAACTAATTAATATAATGACAATTGTATCATTAATGCAAGGGGTGTCATATGATTAATTCTGTATACTGGTATTGCTGTGAAGTTTGTAATAGCTTTTATTGTCCTTTGCTGATAAGATTATAGATGAGACAAAGTGTAATGTTGGCTCTTAGGCTTGTCACGTAAACTAATTGACTTGTTGACATAAACTCATATATAATATAGCAAATTGATTATACTTGTATTGTTTTGTTACTTTGCATTTTATAGTGTGTACTATTAAATTTATATATATGGTTATTGGCCATCTGCCGTTCATAAGTGTTTATATCACCGCTTAACACAAAGAACTACAGGGTCCCTGAAGGCTCTATGTGTGTGTGAATATCATCAGATATTATTCAATCTATATTCCATACATATAAAACCTTAAATTACCCAACACACTACATCCACCTTTTCTCTGTCTCAGACTGTATACCAGGAACTTTTGCCTGCTAGTAAGAAGACAAGTGGACATGTGAGTGCTAGTGGACCCTCCTTAGAAAGCATGGACCGAGCGCATCATTGGACACATTTATGCCAAGCTCAGGATGCTGTTGGCCAGCATGCATGATTGGAAGGCATATAGTAAAAGATAAATGTGCTGTGTAAAAGGCGCTTAAAAAATGTGAATATAGTATAATACACAGTATAGTAAATAGCAGCTTACACACCAAAAGTAGGAACTCTTCAACCTACTTATAATCAAGTGTATAGAGAAAAACACTTTAGTGCAAATACATGCAGAAAACAGTGCAAAGGTGGAGCGCTTAAAAATAAAAACACACACTTACTCCTGTAACTTTCAGGAGGTAATGAAAATGATGGTAATAGGATCCTTTAAATCGCCATATTCAATAAGAGACCTCAGAATGGAGACAAAAATAGGAGAAATAGGGAAGCAGAGCTAACCCTAGTGCAGATATCCTTAATATAGTAGGTAATCAGGTGAGGAAAATAACAATTTACTTCTCACCTTGTCAGGAGCCTTTAACTGGGCTCCAAGTGTATAAGCACAGTGTCAATTATAGAGTGACACTTCCCTTCTTGATAGCAGCATAAATATATCACTAGTCAACTTGGTAACAGAAATAAACATTTATTGCAACTTATAAAAACAAATAAAATCTGTATACTCAAGTGCCAGTGCTGTGTCCAAGACGCGTTTCGCCGATATACTGTTCGGCTTTATCAATTGGTGGACATAATGCTGCTAAACCGAAGTTTAAATACCCATTAGTAGGGAGCTGATTGGAGGGAGACGTCCGTGATACATCCAATCACGGCGTTAGTCCCAGTGTGAAGCCCAGCTGCTTCCGATATCACTGATGTCGTGACGTCATCACGCATGACGCCTCGTGCGCGTGACGTCACTTACGGAAGTGGGCTGCAATCGTACACAATTACATACAAAATCGCATACAAAAGATTATAATAAAACAACTTAGCGAATACTATAAAAAAGTCTTATTTGATTATATCAATTAATCCAGCCATTTGTGATGTTGGGATCATTTTGCTTGGTGAAGAAATATGTTGGGTATCCTCAATAGTATTGCGGCCATCTTGCTTAAGGGCAAAATCCATTCGGTATCCAAGTTCAGATCACTGATTGTCCAATATCCCAGAAATGTCCATAAATATAAATAGTTCTCCGAAATTTAAATCATGATAAGGAAAAAAATGGGGGACAATGATTTAGAGGAGTGTATATAGTAATACAAAACAGTTAAAAGATATATTATAGCATAATTAAAAAATGCACACTATATGGTCATCATGATGATTTAACTAAAAAAATAATAAATGAAAAATGGAAATAGTATAATCTAGTAAAAATAATTAGTATATATATATATATTAAATATAAAATATATATAAAACTAAAGTATAATTATAAAAAATGACAAATTTCGAAATCATCATTTAATCCATATGGTTGCATTGTATTTAAATTAAAAATCCACTTCATCTCAGTTTGACCTATATTCCTCATTAGATCTCCCCCCTTCCAATTCATAGAAATTCTTTGGATTCCCATGAATTCCATACAACGAGGGTCACAATTATGTTTATCCTTAAAGTGCTGAGAAACACTATGTTTCTCGAAACCATTTTTAATATTTCTTATATGTTCTTGGATTCGTGTATTGAGTGTCCTAATGGTTCTTCCTACATATGTAAGTTTGCATGGGCACATAATTTTATATATTACCCTTGTGGAGTGGCATGTAATTAATTGTTTAATCTTAAAACTCTTGTTATCATCTTTAGGATGATTAAATTCCCTAATTACTCTTTTTGAACTTTGTGTATTCTTACAAGCTCCACATGAGCCACACCCATAAAATCCATTAGTCTCATTAAAAAAGGATGATTTATTAGTAGTCTTACTTGATGGTAAATGATTATGTACTAGACTACTGCTCAAGTTATTAACACCTCTATAGGTAATCACAGGTCTATCTGGCAACAAAGAATGGAGAACGGGGTCATTTTTAAGTATTGGCCAATATTTATTAACTATTTTCCTGAGTTGTTTATTATTACAATTAAAATCGCAAATAAAATTCAAATTTTGATGTTGTGTATCAATTTCTTTATCCTTATATATGAGTAAATCGTTTCTGTTTTTCGTTTCTACCTCCTCATAAGCTTTCATCAGATGTTGTTCATTATATCCCTTTTCCTTAAAATCTTTAAGTATTTTAATGGATTGTTCCTGGAATTTGGTATTATCCATACAATTACGCTTAATTCTTAGTAACTGTGCTTTGGGAGCGTTCAGCAGCCAAGGGGAGAAGTGGCAACTCTTCTCCCCTATATAGCTGTTGACGTCAACCTTTTTAAAGAAAGTGCAAGATTTCAGAGTATCATCCTCCACATATATGTTAAGGTCCAAAAATTCGACCGAAGTTTTACTATAGTGACTGGTAAGTTTAATACCATGATCATTAGTATTTAGATGGATCAAAAAGGAGTTAAGGGATGCCTCATCGCCCTTCCAAATAAAAAATGTCATCTATGTAACGACGATAGGTAAAGAGATTTGCATCCCATCTATGATTATCATAAATGAACTCCTGTTCCCAGTGTGACATGAACAGGTTTGCATAGCTGGGAGCAAATCTTGTGCCCATCGCCGTTCCACATGTTTGCAGGTAAAATTGGTCTCCAAACCAAAAATAGTTGTTCATCAGGATCCACTCAATCCCTTCAATGATGAAATCAACCTGTTTGTTAGAAAATTTATCAGAATGTTCTAAAAAATATCTGGTTGCTCTACATCCCTGGGTGTGGGAGATGATCGTGTACAGGGAACTCACATCTGATGTCACAAGATAATAATCTGTACTCCAGGTGACCTGTTGGATAATCTGTAGGATGTTAATGGTGTCCTTAAGATAGCTAGGGCAGGTATTGACTATCAATTGTAAACATTTGTCGATATATTGTGACAACCTGCTTGAAATGGAACCTATCCCTGACACTATAGGTCTGCCAGGTGGTTTATCTTTATTTTTGTGGATCTTGGGGAGGTAATAGAAGACTGGGATCATGGGATGTTGTATATTCAAAAATGTATGTTCCCTAGAACTTAGAACTTCATTCATTTTACCTCTCTCAATTAGCTCCCAATATGTGTTTCTAATCTCATTAGTGGGGTCCTTCCCAAGGATTCTATAGGTTTGTTGATACACAACATCAAAATTTGAATTTTATTTGCGATTTTAATTGTAATAATAAACAACTCAGGAAAATAGTTAATAAATATTGTGACCAGACAGCCTCTCCGATCCCTCGTCTTGACCGTAATGCCTGCATGGATATGTTCTGCTTGACTGGCCACCTGCTTCTGGCTTTTCACGCAGGCCTCCACTGAAATTTTCCCTGGTCGGTCTCCATTTGTTTATATCACTGGTGCCTGTTGGGGAGCTGATGGTGCTTGTGAAATAGGGGGTAGTGTTGCGCCAACTTGACCATATTTACTTTTTGGGTGGGAAAAAGGAGACTTCTAGGGGGTTTATTTACATGTTATTATGGATAATGCCAAATCTTTGGTACATTTTCTGTGATCATTTATCATCTTTAAAGTTTGTGGTATCCAAGATATGGTTTAGTAGGAGATGGGTATGTTGTTGATTGGTTTTATCTTAAGCACTGTTTTTATGTGGATGTTGTGGTATTCTCGCTTTAGCGGTTTGAATTCCACACACAGGCTTAGGACCAAAGGATCATGTTTTATCAGTTAATAACTGTGTGGAAAGTATGAAAGCCCTACAGTGACTTGGATTTTTGTTAGGATATTAAGATGGGTGGGGGAGGGTAGGTTTACTGCCATACCTTATGATATATAATAAATAAAAAAACATTTTAAACAAAGGGAAAAGCATACATTTTTACTTACCGTAAATTCCTGATTAGAGACAGTACATGACAAGGATTTCTCTAATTTGGGGGTAAAACAGCCAGGCAAACCCCCCAAATTTTTAACAACCTCCAATACCTCCTTTGGCACTATAAAGTGCCCTTGAACCAGAAGTTCCCCCGAAAATACAAAAGTCAGAAAAAAAAAAGACAGAAAAAATTATTAGAAAAGAAAGTGTGCACTGCCTCTAAACCTCAGGAAAAAATACATTTATGGTAAGTAAAAATGTATGTTTTTCCCTTCAGATAAGAGACAGTGCATGACAAAGAAGGATTAAAAAAAAAATTAAAACACAATCGCTAAGGGAGGGACTCATTTAACCACTGCTTGCAACACCTCGCAATCAAAACTTGCTTCTTCAGAGACCAGTATGTCTAACCTGTAATGTTTAGTAAATGTGTGGAGAGACGACCAAGTGGCTGCGAAACAGATTTGCAAAGGAGTAGCCGAGGCCCTGAAGGTCCAAGAAGTGGACATTGCTTTTATAAATTAAGGTGGAGGAAACTGTGAGGAGGAATACAAATGGAATCCTTTAAAGGAACACTATAGTCACCTAAATTACTTTAGCTAAATAAAGCAGTTTAAGTGTATAGATCATTCCCCTGAAATTTCACTGCTCAATTCACTGTCAGTTAGGCGTTAAATCACTTTGTTTCTGTTTATGCAGCCCTAGCCACACCTCCCATGGCTATGATTTGACAGAGCCTGCATGAAAGAAAAACTGGTTTCACTTTCAAACAGATGTAATTTACCTTAAATAATTGTATCTCAATCTCTAAACTGAACTTTAATCGCATACAGGAGGCTCTTGTAGGGTCTAGCACGTTATTAACATAGGGGATAAGAAAATCTTAATTAAACAGAACTTGCCATAAAGAAAGCCTAAATAGGGCTCTCTTTACAGGAAGTGTTTATGGAAGGCTGGGCAAGTCACATGCAGGGCGGTGTGACTAGGGTTCATAAACAAAGGGATTTAACTCCTAAATGGCAGAGGAATGAGCAGTGAGGCTGCAGGGGCATGTTCTATAAAGCAAAACTGCTTCATTAAGCTAAAAGTTGTTCAGGTGACTATAGTGTCCCTTTAACCATCTGTCCAGCAAACCTGCCAAAAGATTTTTATTAGGCCCATGAAAAGAAATCAAATTAATGGCGACTGTTCAGGTTCATGCGTTAGCTCCGCCACCATAAGACCTTTTATTGCATCGGGAAATAGGACAAAAAGTCTGTTACACCTTCTAAAGGAATCTATACTTTATATACTGTAGCAAAGACCATTTAACGTCAAGGAAATTAAATTTTTCTTCTAAAGCATTAGAAGGCTGTTTGCAAAAAAATCAACACCATTTTGTCTTGATGGAAAATTAAAGGATGATCTGAATTTATTGCTTGAAGTTCACCCAATTGCTTTGCCGAAGTAATTGCCACTAAAAATAAAGTTTTAAAAGTGAGTAATTTGAGTGAAGTCTTTTCCAACCATTCATAAAGAGGCTCACATAAAGCTGACAAAATGAGATTAGGATCCCATGGCAGAACAATCTCCCTAGCAGTTGGAACTAAATGAGCTAAAGCTTTGAAAAATCTTCAAATTACATTAGCAGTCAAGCATCTAAAAAAGGAAAAACTAATTACAGCAATTTGGAGTCTCAATGCTTTAGCAAAGCCTAGTTGTAAGAATCTTAAGATTGTCGGAATGGACGCTGATAAAAGGGTTTTATTTGATTCTAAAACACCAATTACAAAATCTCTTCCAGATTCGGGAATAAATCTTGGATGTAGAATCTTTGCAGACATCAGAATAACTTCAGTAGATAAACCTTGATCTGTCAATATTTGGTATTCAGAAATCATGCAGTTCGGTTGAATTTCTGTAGAGCTTGTAGAGGGGCCATGGAGTTCTAGCATATCCAAAGATAGAGGGAGTTTCCGTTAGGTTGAGTTAGGGACATTTAGGAGCATGGAGAATCAACTGGCCACCAAGGTAGAATTAATATTCTTACTTTTTCCGTCACGATCTTTTGTAGAATCCTGAAAATTAAAGGTACTGGAGGAAAAATGTATGCCAGGTCGAAGTTCCATGCTATGGAAAATGCATCTATTACCTCTGGCCTGTCTGAAGGATTCAAAGAGGCAAACTTTGTTTTTATGGTTTGCTCTTGAAGTCATAAGATCTATATCTGGAGAACCAAATCCTGCTGCTATTTTCCGGAACATCTGAGGTGAAAGCTTGTTTTAAATGCCGATGACTTAGGGCGTCTGCTAGGATGTTTTATTATTTTATGTGCACCGCTGATAAATGAAAGGAGATGCAACTTGGACCATAGCATGATTTGTGAGCGACCATAGCATGATTTGTGAGCATAGATTTTCCAAACGATAAGACCTTGCTTCTCCTTGCTTGTTGATGTATGCAACTGCTGTTTAATTGTCCAACCTGATTTGGACATGCTGATTTAGGATCTGAGTTTTGAATGCTATTAGAGTCAACCAAACTGCCTTCAGTTCCTTGGATTTTACAAGATTTGAAAAGATCAGCAAATTACAAGTTCCCAGTTTTTTGCCTTTCTTCCATGTAACAGCTCTAATTTGAGGTGTCTGTTAGAATTTTGAAAGACTTCATTTGAAAAGATAGGTCTGTCTGAAGGATATGGATCAACGTCCACCAATGGAAACTCTTCAGAGTGAGACTGTTTAGTTTCATTAGACTGTCTAGATTGGCTGTTCGTCTGTTCCAAAAGGCTTAGATTATTTTGAAGTGGTCGTATTCTGGCCTTTGCTCAACTGACTGCAGGTATGGAGGCTGCGAAGAGTCCCAGCAAACTCATTGCTTCTCTTACGGAGCAGAAGGGCTTCCTTTTGAGTTTCTGTATAGCCAGAGAAATGTTTTTTGCTTCTGGAATAAAAATAATTAATAATATTAATTTTGACTAAATATATAATAAGACCCAGAAACTGTATCCTTTGGGTAGGTATTAACCCCTTCAGGACTGAGTCAATAGTGCACGTTCTGATCAAAACAAAACGTAAACAAAAACGGGAATTTCCGCTCTGTCTGTCCAACCGTAATTCACCTCTTTCATATTATATGCACCCACACTTATTATATATCATTTTATTCAGGAGAAACAGGGCTTTAATTTATCATTAACTATTCATATATGGAACATAATTTATGATGAATAAAATTTTAAAAAAGTGAGAAAATACGTTTTTTATTTTTTTTATTTGTATTTCCGTCTGACATTTTAGCTGTTAATGTCATAATACCGTTAGGTTTTACTGAAAAAAAATGCACATATTTGTAATCAGCGATGTCTCACGAGTACAACAGTACCACCCATTAACAGGTTTTATGGTGTTTTGGAAAGTTACAGGGTCAAATATAGAACGTTCCATTTTCAAATTGAAATTTGCCAGATTAGTAATGTTACCTTTGAGACGGTGTGGTAGCCCAGGAAGGAGAATTACCCCCATAATGGCATACCATTTGAAAAAGTAGACAACCCAAGGTATTGAAAGTGAAATGTTTAGTCTTTTTTAGTAGCCACTTAGTCACAAACACTGGCCAAAGTTAGCGTTCATATTTGTTTTTGTGTGAAAAATGCAAAAAAATAATATTTGCCCAGTGTTTGTGACTAAATGGCTACTCAGAAAGACTTGACATACCCCACTTGCAATATCTTGGGTTGTCTACTTTTGCAAAGGGTATGCCATCATGGGGGTAATTCTCATTCCTGGGCTACCATACGCTCTCAAAGGCAACATAACCAATCTGGCAAATGTAAATGTAAAAAAAATGAAATGCAAGCCTTACATGTGACTAACTTTCCAAAACATCATAAAACCTGTACCTGGGGGGTACTGTTATTCTCGGGAGACTTCACTAAACACAAATATTAGTGTTTTAAAACAGTAAAACATATTACAACAATAATATAGTCCATAAAAGTGCCGTTCGTTTGTCTGATATTTCAGACAGTCCCTTTGCTGGCAGATCCACAGCCAGCTATAGGGGGCCATATGATCGCTCATGGCCCCCGGGGGCCTCATTTGCCAGGGGAGGGCTGCCTGGGCTGTCAGTCAGCCCTCCCGAAGAGGATCGCGGCGGAGGGGAGTACCGCCGAGGTCCTGGGGGCTTCAATT